TCACGTTCTTTCATGTATTATTTGCGAAGAATCGGAAAAAATACTATTTCGTTTTTATATAGCTAAGAGAACTCATAAAAAAAGTTAAAAATAAGGAGGAAACATCGAAAGATTAAAGAAAAGCGGATAAGAATATATATATATATATATACACACATTATATCTACAGCAGACCAAGAAGGTAATTCCCCCGTTTTTTTGCACCTTTTAAATATTTTTTAAGAGTATTCTGCACTTTTTTCATTTAATCCAACTGGTCACAAACAGGCAGAAAGGTGATGATTTTATAAGTAGTAGGTCGCATTGAGGAGTTGTGTAGATGGTTTTGCATTGAGCGGAATTTTTTTATTGTCTGTTACTATCACCTTAGCTTAAAAAGACGCTGTGTGTAAACTCCATAGATAAATCTATATATTATGTGTTCATAGTAGGGGTAGGCAAAACTATCTTGTCTCCGTAAAATAAATTCTAACAATTAAATACTTTTACTACTACTTTTAACTTTTTTAGAAATTAAAAAATATGAATTGCAAGGTTTTTTTCTTTCTTTCCAGGAAATGGGATACACACCTTTGATGTATTCTGTGAAGGATAATCGGGTACAGGTGGCGGAGAGGTTCCTGGATTTGGGAATGGATATTAATGTAAAGGGGAAGGTAAGTAATTCCTCTCTTATATAATCTGTTCGTTCTGTTTTATTTCATATTTTGTAATCGGTGATATACGACAGACCCATTTTCGGGTTTACGGTTATTATTGTTCAATTTCGTAACTTTGTAATTTTGAACCTAACTCAAAGGACAAGGGAAGGTCCTGGACCAAGTATTGGAACAAACTGGATTTCGTGGAGGACTTTTCGAGGGAACTGCATGGTAGCCATATTCCAAAAAAATTTCAAAACTGTGGAAAAAGTTCGATGAACAAATTACTATCAACCCAATATTTTCCTAAATTAATCCGGGAAGACTCACGCTTTCTGTGAGAACGCTAAGATGATGACTTCAGATCAGAAATAAGTTTATTACCAATTAAACTAATTTAATTAAACTCATTCATACTCAACTTGAAAAAACGTTATTATATATTGGAATTATTACACTTATGAGAATTAGATGTCGAATATTTATAGCTTAATTAATTGAAGCTTTTTACCATTCATTTTGTGATAAAATTTTATAAGACATTATAATGGTGAGCTCTCTGATACTTTGTATCTGAATGATTATATTACAGTCTACATGGTTGTTTTATTGCAAACGGTGAAAGTTCATACTACTTTTTATTAATGTTTTGTTTCTTTGGAGACAATTATAACACACAAAAATAAAATGTTCCTTGCTAACAAAATTTGCTCATCAATTGCAGGTTCCCGTAGTTCTCGAATTCTCGGGCATAACTTCCTTTTGAAGTAGTTCTTAATTTCTGTTCGCTAAAAAAAAACATAGTTACCGAATTTTAATGTGATTTTATTACAAGTCATTTTATCAAAAATTTCGATTTCAAATAGAAACAAATTTTATAAATATCTGCAGATTGTTGTGCTTATTGAATATTTAAAAAAATATTCCTTCCGTTGGATCCAGAAAATAAAATTTAAATTAAGAGAATACAAATAATAACAACATTTTAATTATTTATTCTCATAATAATAAAAAATACATTGAAAAAAAATCTGTAGGATTCAGAGTGATATGATTTATCAATAATATAAGAGAATTTTATATTATGTATAGCATAAAGACGATATATAATAATTTTGAAAATATGAGCCGCAATGTGATAAGTAAACTATTGCAAAAATAATTATATTGCATATTGTAATTACATTGCATATTATATTATATATATAATAATTATGTCGCATATTAACTATATTCAGGAGCTTTAATAATACTAAAAATAATATGTGTAGAATTCTTAGCATAGTTCAAAAGTTACAAATAATTTTTGAAGAATTAGCTCGTAAATAATTTTATAGTAAAGCATAGAATCTCGAAATTAATCATTAAAAAAATTGATTGATTACATTGAAATCATTAAATTGATCATAAATCCCAATTTAGACTTTTATTTTCTGTTTAAACTAAACTGTACTTTTTTAAATTAAAAATGCATAAATAATTTATATAAAACATAATATTCTTGCTTTTTAACTTAAAACTGACCTTTAAAAAATTAGTTGACATTTCTATGAAAAGAAACTGTTATCAGTTAAGATTTCAGTCATAAAAAATAACTACAAAATAAATATTAATAGAGAGACATCGATAAAATATTTAAAATATTAAATTTCAAAGCTATTGGAAGAAAAATATTAAAAAAAAACAATAATATTAAAATGCATAAAATTAAAAAGAGGACAAATCAGCATTGCAAATTTATCGCTGCCAAAACTAAATTAAATAAAGAAAAATTAAGGAAATTTTTTTTCCTAAAAATATGCTTTAGAGAAATGTTAAGCTTTAAAAAATTATTCTAGACGATTTGGAATATTTTAAACAGCATAGGCAGAGTGGGTAATATATATTTTTGGACAAGTATGTAATGGTGGAACAAATATTTTGCTTAGCCAAGATAAATGCTAAATTAAAAAAAATGCTGTAATCAATGTACATCTTTTTCAAGAAATTATTATGCCATGGCAGTAAAAGATTAGCTTTAACAATCTTTTGCATTAAAAAAAATTGAACGTAAGGAGATTTTAGTGTCTTACGCAGGCATTGGTCATACTCTACCCTTGTAAGTAATAGTGAGCATATCTTAAACTTCTTCCTACTCAGGAGCTTTTTTAATATTTGAACGGTCACGAGTCAAATATTTAGTTAGATTTTTTAAACAATGCAAAAGTTCTGTATTTGTGAATAGGTTCTGTATTTGTGAATACGTTTATCTTGTCCCGCGTAAGAAATATGAAAATATTATTTTATTACGCCTTTTTACAATAAAAAAGAACTTACTCCGCACCCAGAGATACATTAATTTCAGTTTTCAGAAATAAACGTAGTTTTTTGAAGCAAATAAATTCCTTCGCCAAGAAATTTCCTACTGCCCTCTAATTACACATCTGCCAAGAAGTACTTAAACAAAAATGTTTTTGCTCCACCTGCCATACAAATTGTCTCTTTGGCAATGAGAACTCGAAGTGTCGCCAAACACTGGAGAATTAGAAGCGAAACATACGCTGAAACCTAACGTTTTTTCCCATGAGTCTGTCACAGAATGGTTTTTTGGAATCTTCCCAAAAAAGAATTGTGTAACACCATTTTGTCGGAGTTGTCACGTAAATACGTGACCAGCATGTTGGGTATCACTCCCATTGCAGACGATTTTGCTTTGGCATGAAGGTCTTCTTTCATTTGCTTTGTGTAAGAAGTGTGAAACTAAACGCAGTGCTTAAATGAGTTGAACAGATTGTCTTCTGGCATGAATGGGCTTAATTAATTGTCTTAATTATTTCAGATAGAAAAAATTAATTTAAAAAAAAACACATTTTATTTTTCAAAGCTTGTTTTCCTACGCTAGATTTCTTAATACATGAAACTGTGTCAAGGTTGAAAATACTGTTGTTCGTGAGGATAGTTGGAATTTATCGGTTAAAGGGACTATGTGTTGGAGAATGTTTTTCCGAGTTAATGCCAACATGAATTTCGATCTCCACAATTGATACAATTAAAAATGCAATTGATTAGAAAAATACTTAGAGATTCTGCTGCCAGATTCCGGTTACAAAGTTCAATATCGCGATACATTGCCCCAAAAAATAGATATGTACTAGTGGGCTGCGCCCCCTGCTCGCTAACGCTCGCCAACCCCAGAAAATTGCTACGCAATCTTATATGGTTTGCTTCGCAAACCAAGCTCGCTTCGCTCTCTACTAACTTAGGTATATTGCAAATGCACAAAATTCTAAGAATTCAAAACAATCATTCAAATCCATATAACAACTTTTAAAAATTGCATCTTTTTAGTAAATACTAAGTCATTAAAATAAATTTGAATTCAAATAAATGACATGTAATTCGTTAAACCTATTAGAAATGTGCTATAGTATGAAATCTAAAGCGTAACAGCACGACTGAGACTCATTTCTTAATGAATAACTAATAACAATGATAAAACAAATAAATTCGCGATATAAATCAAAAATTGTCAAATAAATTCGTAATATATAAATTCGTGAAAAAAGCGCTTTCGATGAAATTCTAAAATGGAGATCTATCAACAAAGACTACTCACTTCTGCCTAGCTTAATAGTATGAGATTGCCGCAGATGATAGGGTGAATTTCGGAAGAGATCACATTTGGTGAGAATGCTCTCTCTGGTTATTTCTGTTTCCGTTTTTAAAAGCGCTATATGTTGAGCCACTTCAGCTAGATTTGGCATGTGACATTTTTAGCGGCAATCATAGGTCGATTTTCTAGTACTGCCATTTGGGGAATTGTAATGAGGCTTTTTTTGTCGCCGTGTAAGAGAAATATATATATATAGATTATTATATCACGATATTATTATATTATAGTACATACGATGCGATATTATTATATTATATATTATTATAATATGATATTATATATATTATAGAAAAATTTATATATTTTTATATATTTGTGGCGTTGACCACAAACAGAGTAAAGGAAACAAACATCGCCCTCTATCTTACTGCCAGATAAGGGAAGAAGCTGAATTCCAAGAAAATTTGAAAGGGTCGGATTTATTAGAATGTTCGTCCGATAGATTAGTTATAATTTATGTTTAATCTATATGAGGGTACAATGTATATAAAATGCATCAAAATTTTCCGTAAAATAATGTTTTGGTGTTCGGGCCTTTTTTTAAAAAAGCTTGATTTTATACCCACTTTACCCCACCTGATCCTTTTAATTCGTTAAGGAGAAACGTAATAAAACGCTAATATCGTTGCTGACGTCAATGATAATTAATTTTGGTAATAGTTTCTAGTCGAAGTAAAAAAATAAGCTGTCCGATAAAAGTCAAAAATAATGTAGAAAGGTACTAATTCGTTTTAAAGGAGGCAGAGATTGTCGCCTAAATCAGAAATAAAAAAATAAATAAACATTACGATAATAAAAAAAATATTAAAAAAAAAAATACATTTAGAATTGTATTCAGTCTAAATAAAACCAACTTTACTGAACTAAAAAATATTATATCATATAATTGAAAGTATTTTAATAATAAAGAACTCACAAAAGCCGAAACATGTGTTAATTTATTGACCAAATATTAATTATATATTACCAAACAATTGAGGCGAATTTTCGATTTAAATTTGACAATTCCCAACATTGAACAAAAATTTTTTAAATACGTTACCAAAACAACAGTCAAACCTCAACTTGCACGAAAAAGTGTTATACGAAACAAACTTTTAATGTCTCATCCTTTAAATGCATTCTTCTGGTCCAACATCTTACATTCAGAAATCTTTCTCTTGGCACAACATCTTACACTCGAAAACATTCTTCTAGGCCCAACATCTGACATTCAGTATTCTTTCGCTTTATCCAACGTCGCAGCAATCAAAAACATTCCATGCTAAATACTCAGACCGATGAATACTCATAATTTTTTACACATTGTTTAAATTAACTATAAATTCTTAACGTAACAGATGCTGAAAATGATACAAGGTCAGATTTGATGTTTGGTTTTTAAATCTATTTTGGAGGTACTTAATAACTGGCAGTAAGTTTCAACATCTTCTAAACAACCGCACAATTATTACAATTATAAAAACCTTCTTAATAATGACTATTAATTTTAAAGAAATGTATGTTTTTATATGGAAATTATTTGGAATGATAATTTTTGTTACATTTTAATATTATTTGTGTATATAAAGATATATACAAAATTTATAATACTGTTCTACATACACATGGTATGTATTTCAAAATTAACATTCTTAGATATTAAATTATTTTTAACATTGAATATTAGTTTGCTTTTTAGATAGTTTTAGAAAAAAAATATTAGTTATTCTGAATAGAAATTTCAGAAATATATAAAATATTAAATTCATTTTAAATAGGATTAAGAAGTTATTACAATGTAATAACTGTGCAGACGTTTGAATTATGCATGAAACTGATTATACTATTCCTTTAAATAATTTTACAAAACAGTTTTAGCTATTTTTTGAAACTAGTAGTTTTTTTTTCTTCAGAAAACTGTAATTTTGTTATTGCCAGAAATTATATTAAAAAAAAAAAACAGTATTTCATTTTGCTACTTTTATAGTGTAAAATTTCAAATCTGACTTATTCTGAAATTTTTTTGAAACTACATTTTCTATGCATCCTGTACGTAAATTAACTTGGAAGTATCTTATTTTATTTTTTAACTATTTTTAGATTTTAGTATACTGCCAAATTTTTAAGGAACTTTATCTATGCACATTCAATCTATCGAACTCAAATTCCCGTGCTGTATTTTACTATTTTAAACTTTAAATCTACTTTGCCAAATTTTTATGAAAGCTGTATTTTATTACTTTTACTATTTTAAATTGAAATCTGCGTCCTCAAATTTTTATGAGTATTCATCCCTTCATATCCAATATGTGCTATCCTGTCATTTCTGCAAAAATTCTCTCAATATTCCTTCTCATTTCCATTCAATGCTCTTCGTAAAAACTACCAATCTGTTATCCATCCAGAAAATCCCCAAACCGTTTCTTTTTCTCTTAATTTTGTAAAAGGCTTTTCAAATCTTACTTAACATTCAAGAATTTCAAAATGATTTAATGCAAGTTGAGGTGTTCGAGAACAATCACTCCTAATTTCATCCGCAGCAAGCGAACATTCTGAGGAAGCGAATGCTTGCAGCGCGAACAGCTTGCCCAATTCTTCGAATTGACGATCCTCTCATATGGCTGGACTGACGTTTCTGTGATATTATTGGTTTCTTTTGTGTAGATTCAATCACGCGGTCTTCCATATTTTCTACAAAGATTTTTTCCTCAGTGGTTTTGGGTGTTACTCCTTGAAGAGTTGCTACAGTTGTTTCATCCCCTTTAAGACTACTGACACCTGATTCCACCACAGCTTGATTTTCCTTCTCCATGAGAATGTTATACAATTCTATGAATCCTTCATGGTCGTAAAGTGGCTCATAGTCGGTACTCAGCATTTCTTCGGGATCGAGCAACTCATTCTCGAAATCAGTCCCAGAACATGATGTTTTAGACCAAGGACATGATGGTTTTGTGCAAAGTTCGGCTAAGTCTACCGGTTGGTAATTAGGCGACCGTAAATAATCAGTGTAAGAGGTGATGGCAAGAAACTCCTCTTCACTGTCACTGGACTCTTCATCAGTCATTTGACTGCAATCAGATGGAATCTTTCTATTAGAATCCGGAACAATATTCGATGTTTCCCAACCAGCAATACTTGCTTCCTCAACATCAAGATCTTCTTGGGATGCTTCATCATCACTCAGGTCATTATTTTGCGACTTTGATAGAAATTGATTGAAGACACCTTCCATTGATGCGATGACATGATGCAATTTCAACAATCCCTCATAGTTGGAATCAAACTCATCAGGCGAGCTCAACACTTCTTCTGGATCAGGAGACTCATTCTCATAATCAGGTGGTAAATGTTGATTATGAAAGTCAGGTCTTGATGACTTTGAGCTATCGGAAGTGGATTCTTCGCCAAATACTTGGATGGAATCAAAAGGACCCTTCTGAGGAAAGTCTGTGACACTGACAGCTGTTTCAAAATCAGCAACACTAGAATTCTCAGCACTATGATGTTTAAAATCTCCGCGATCTTGTAACACAGAAGCGAAACCATCCTTTGCGCTTTTAATATCGCCGTGTGATTTCATATTAGGTTCTTCACTCAAGCCAGTCACTAAAGATCCATTCATATTTAAAATATCAAATTTAATTTGAGGAATTATATTTGCTTTCGAAATGGAAGTTTAATTCATGAATCGCAATTCTCTTTATTGAAACAATGAACTTACAATAAAACAATAAAAATGTTATTGTTAAGAAAGATATTTTTTTTTAATATTGTTGTCCTTGTATAGGGCTTTATTGTTCTAAAGTTTTCTTAGTACATAAAATGAATACCAATAGTGAACAATAAAAATTCATTAATATATTGCTAAAATATAGAAATGGCTATTATTTTTCTGTTGCCAAAAAAGAAAAATCCTCCTGCTTTTAATATTTATAAAAAGAATTTTGATTGAAACACCACATTTTGCTCACGTTAAAAAAATAAAACTAGATGAATTAGAAATTGTTTTAACTTCATTATTAGTATAACTCAGGGCGTAAAATTTCAGTTCTAAAGTACTAGCCAGTCTAAACTTTTTGCTCGCCTCAGTTTTCACGAAAAATAACACAAACAAACAACTTTTTAAAATGTTGACAGATGTAGTATAAATAAGAAATTTTAGCGGGAAAAAAACCACACAAAAATGCATCGGAAGAAAAACTGATACACTTTTATAGCTAAAAAACACTGATATTACTTTAACCCTTTAAAGATCGGCGGATGAGAGAGAAACGCTTTTCCGGAGTCTCAAATTTCGAGCAAGGAAAAGCGGGGGTAAAATCGGGTATCTAAAACTTAAAAGCCAGTTGCATCTAATTTGTCCAACCTACCAAACTGTCAGATTTAAGCAGGATATTTATTGTTTAGTTGTGTGAATATATCATTCCTGAAAAGTCAAGGATAGGATACACTACCTTTTTTATAAATAGTTTTTTTTAAAAACGTCAAATAACCCGGTCTTATTCCACTACAGAACCCACTAGTGAGGTAAGACCGGGTTATTTAGAGTCCACTAGTGGGGAAAGACCGGATGCAAGTGTTAACTCTGTGAAAAATGTAGAAATACTAGAATTTCAGTGAAAAATTAACAGAAATTTTTTATTTTATATGACGATTCAAGAATATTATACATGCAATTTACATGCAATGTAGTTAGCTTCTCTTTCTGCTGCACTGCACCTTTCGTGATCCCAGCATAGACATACATCAAGGAGGGAAGCAAGACAGGATATAATCTGATCTTTCCCCGAGAACAAAAGTATTCGAACCGAATTGTTTTTATAACTGTACAGACCAATTATAAGGATAGTTATAAAATAAAAGAACGTAAGAGAGGTGACACAGTTAAACAAACTTACCTACACAGATGCCGTGAATTCATCCCCAATAACACGCCAATATGATATGTTATTTTTCTTGACTAGTAGGATATAATTTAGAGTCTGTCCACTAAAAAACAACAGTAATTTCGACACAATCGAGGTACCCGGACTCACCCCACTCTCTTTTATGCATATAAGAGAATTGTATTTAGATCACGTTTATGTGATATGGGGCCGCTAAAGTCTAAGAGGTTCGTTTCATACATGACAACATGAACCGTGTAGGAAGAATCTCGCGATGACATATGTGTTCATAGTCCTGAAGGGGTATAGATGTATCCCGCATTCTAGTGTTATTATATCTTCCCTTGCCTTCAGGATAACATTGAGAGGTTTTCCTTCCCCTTGTAACGCCCTTGCGGGTTAGTTCCATAAAAAATTATTCCCAGAAGGTAAATTTCTCCCATTACTTGATATTATATATATATATATATATATATATATATATATACAGGATGTCCCAAAAGGTCGTTTACAAACTNTATATATATATATGGTTTAAATATTTCTAATAATTATGCCCCAGAGCAGCCGTTTCTGAAACTTAAGTATCCGAAGACATTTTTATGCAAAAATAATTTTAAATATTTTTTTAATAATATAATTTCAATAATTATAAAAATTATTCAAATTTAGAAATTTGTGCATCATCTTGAGCTTAGTAAATTTGAATGACAAAAAGAAATATGTGTACGAGATCATCAGAATATTTCCTGAAAAATAAAATTGTCAAAAAATCGTATTTTTAATGTTTTCTCAAAATTGTTCAACTTATGAAGTTTAAATTTTTGTAAATAATTTTTTAAAAAATAAATTGTTTCAGACGATTTTACGTTTTTTTCTTCCTTATTTAAATATTTTTCACGCATCAAAGCTTGGAAAGTGTTGGTTTGAGGGTAAAGTATGCCACCTGGAAAATAAAACCTGGTAACCAATATTTGTTTTATACACATTTCAAACATATACATGAGCTTGCAGTGTAAACACTCGCATTATATTATTTATATTTATGAAACGATTACGATTACGATTACGATTATGAAACGATTACGATTATGATTTTACTATTACTACATTTGTATTTACTTCAACAGATATCGTTATGTATGTGTTGTATTTCACTGTGTTGTTCTTTGTGTAGGATGGACTTACAGCACTGCATTTATCAGCCCAACAAGTGCGTGAAGATATGGTCCGTCTTCTTCTTGGAAGAAAAGCTGATCCCTTAGCGGCCGGTGGTGTAAGTGTTGATATTAAATTTTAATAAATTATTTCAAATCATTTTATTCTAGAGGCAAGCTAACAATCTTGTTAAGCTTGTTGTTGATTTAAACCGAATAAAATCATTTTGAGCATAAGCAATGGCATCAGCTTAATCCTTGAGTCATAACATTCATGATGGGAGGTGCACTTTTCATAAACATTTGACTCTCAGGAGGACACATTATGAACATTAAAGGAACAATAAAGCCCATCTGTTTACTAATCATTAACTTTTTGAAATGAAAATGAATGCATTAATTACTTTGAGAAATTGACTGTGGTGATTCATATTTTGTCTTCTGCATGGGCTTGAGAGCTCTCGGTGGGCCTAAGCCTTCTTAAGAATTATACCGTCCTGTTCATCCATTTATTTGTGTGTTGTAGGCGATCCATGCAGACACAACAAAACCTTGCCATTTGATTTTTTTATTTTCGGAAAACGCACAATTTTTTTTTCCTGGGATGCGAAGGTGAGTTTCACCAAGAGCTCGTTTTCCTTTTCAGGTATCAGATCAAACTCATTTATCAGAGAAACGTCAGGTATCAGATCAAACTGACAGATCATCGCATTTCACATATCCATGCCGCCAGACAGCTTCCCTGATATTTATTTTACAAAGAATTGACGAGACATGGGTTTTTTGTACTTGCTAATTCCGTTATACACATGAATAACATAAGACTTTATTACAGCCATATATGTGAAGCGAATGTTTAACCCTTTACCGCTCCCCTTTTCATATCTGCAAAGCTAATATTTTAAATTGGCTTTTCTCTGCTGTCTGCTATAATTAAACACTGAAAGCTGCTTTGCACATTAGTAAAAGTGCTTGTCTCAGTAAGAGAAAACAATTGACCACCACTCTGTGCTAGTTTCAACGTTGAAGGGCTTGCTGTTTCCTCGTGTGTAAGATCTCAATACGAAACGTTTTCTATAATTTGGTATTATTGCAATTTGAAGTTTCAGTTTAGTTATTTTATTCAGTTATTTAGTTAAAAAAAAGAAGAAAATTGCTGCATTAAGCCTATTAAATTAAGTGCTCCTGAGCATCTTGAAAACAAGCACTGTCGTTTGTGTTCTAATTAAGACATCCAAGTCAAACATGACATGTGTGCACGACGTATGATGTTTCACTGTGAGTTTCTTCATGTTTTCCAAACCTTCGTGCAAAGAAATTTTGAAAATTAACCCACATATGACTGAAATATTTTAATACAAATTTCCTTTTGCAGTTTGTAATACTTACTAACAAACTTTTATAAATGAAAAGAAATAAAACTTTTTGAATCCCCACCTTTCAATAGCCTTAATAGGTGATATATACAGCCCCTGGCAAATTATTAGACGCACTATTCACCGAAGAGCCATTAAATTATGACCACCCTTCATCTATAACAATGGTTTTCATGGTTTCTCGCTCAGGAATAATGTTTTCATGGGGCACATTAGGACCCATAATCCTCATAGAGCAATCTCTGACATCTGTAAGCTACTTGAACATAGTTGCAGACCTGGTTCACCCATTCAGGGCAACAGTTTTTCCTGCGGGGGATGGTGTTTACCAACAGGATAATGCACCATGTCATAAGGGTCGAATCGTCATGGATTGGTTCGAGGAACATTCCAGTAACTTCAAGTCATGTCTTGGCCCCCAAACTCACCTGACCTTAATCCAATGGAGCATTTGTGGTCCCACTTGGAAAACCAAATTCGTGCTGCCATGCTACCCCCTCGCAATGTGGGGGAATTGCAGGACCAGCTGGTGAGCGCTTGGTAGTAGAAACCTCAGACTACCTATCAGCACCTGGTAGAATCAATGCCACGGCGGGAGGTAGCAGTTTTGAGGGCTAAAGGTGGTCCCACATGTTATTAGCAGGATGGTCATAATGTAATGGCTCTTCGGTGTAAGATTCTATGTAAAATCTTATTTATCAAATGATGCTATACAGCTTTATTGTTTTTAACGCGACTGAAACCGGTTTGCACTTGTTTACGTCCGTGTATAATTTGGTCAAACTAGACGACATATAATATAAATTCCACGATTGCATAAATTAGACGATATATTATATAAATATAGAATATTTATTATATCGGGTATTATATTAGTATATTATAATAATTGGCCCAGATTATCAGAGACACTGTAGTTTTTTTTAATAATTACTTGTTTTGCCCGAGTTTATATGCAATACTTTTATATTTAAACATTCATGTAATAGGTTTTTATTCAGGAGATTTTTTATATACTTCCTATTCGTATTTATTTTTTAACGTATTGCATTGCAATGTTAACCAATTGATACACGAGCGTAAACAAGTGCAAACCAGTTTCAACCGCGTAAAAACAATAAAACTGCGTAGCATCACCTGATAATTAAGATTTTACATATGTAGAATCTTATAGTGCAGGGATGGAGAACCAAAGGCACGCGTGCCATTAATGTCACCCGACACAATATTTCGGGCACGCAACCGATCACATTTGTTATTACACTATGAATTGTTATTACAATATGAAGCATATGTAACAATTGAATTAAAATTCACAAAAACTCTCAAAATAATAAACAATTATTAATAAAAAAATTAACAATTAATGCTAAAAAAGCAATTAATAACCATAAAAACAAGTTAGCAATAAATAACTAGAAAAAAAATTAACAGTCCTGCTTAAACTAACATCTTACAACCTAATATAAGTTATTTGTCATCTAATCTGCAACAACAGAAGTCACACTGATGTTACTTTAAGTTGAATTACGCGTATAACTGAGACATAGCAAAATTTTTTTTTTTTTTCAATGTAAATAAAGAGTTTTGAGTTGATAGTATTTAGTATTATTATTTTCTCAATAATCACGAAGTCAAAATTATTTGACGGCACGTCTATGACATCATTAAACAATTTTTTTTAGAAAAAATGGCACGTTGGTGTATAAAGGTTCGCCACCCCTGTTATAGTGTGTCTAATAATTTATCCAGAGACTATATACTTACCAATAAAAAAAATGGTGTTGAATTTCAATGAATGCTTTCCAAAACTACATATAAAATATTTTTTGTGAATTAAGTTACATATCGCTCATGGGCTGCAATAGTGGCACCACTAAAAAAACACGTGTTTTGGACTAAGAACAGGTGTGAAAATACACATTCTTTCAGCAGCAATGCTAACACAACTCATAATTCAACTTGAAGGTGATCTTCGTTTAAACAAACGAAAGCATTTCTTGTGCATTTTTCTTAGCAACGAAAACTCTAAACCCATTTATCTCAAAGCATTATTTTTTGAGTTGTGCCGCTATTGCAACCCATGAGCGATATGACTATAATATTTTAATACACATTTCCTTTGCAGTTTGTAGTATTTACTGAAGCTATTTTATATATAAAAAGGAAGAAAACTCTTTTAATTATATATAAAATAGCATAACAGTAATGTTATATTAGTGTGTGTATGTGTGCTCTTGAGAATATGTGTATGTATATCAGTAATTGTAATTGTATCTGAATGTGGATGTGGAATATGCTTTTGTATATGCATATGTATGTGGATGTNCTGAATATTTTATATGTGGCTGTGCATGTGTATGAGTAAGAAAATGTGTATATGTATGTGTATATGTACTGTTATGTATTTCATGTGCCCCACGTTTTTTTGTTTTTCAATTTTTTTCTTAATTATTATTCTCTACTACTAAAACATGGTTTTTAAAAATATAACTTTTTATTTTGAATTTTTTTATTTTGATTTTTTTTATTTTAAACTATGATTTTTTTAATTTTTAATTTTTATTTTATATTTTTAAGAAAATATTATTTTTTAATTATTATTCTTCACTACAAAAAACGTGGTTTTTAAAAATATATATTTTTATTTAGATTATTTTTCTTAGTCAAGAGTAGTCAAAACTACTACAAGACCAGTACTAAAGTAATAGAACTTTTATTTTAAATTAGGGATACAAAAATCTTTATAGAAAAACAATACCTTTACGACTTTCATTAGTTTTATGCTGATGACAACCAAAACAATCTGGAAATGAATGAGGAAAAACTGGATCCTACCACGTAATTTTTCAGCCAATTAAAATACTCCGACAACAAAAATATTTTCACCTGACACGTAATAATTTGAAATAATGGAATCGACAACAAAAGACAATCTCGAAAATAATTTTTTTTTTAAATTTTAATTTTATTTTACTTTGCATGTCTTTTTTCTCTTCATTTTCGTGCATTGTCATCCAATTCTGAACTGTGTGCTAAATTTGAAGTTTGTAGCTAGTCGGGAAGTTAGTTTAAAATCGATTACAAAATTCCACCCGGACAGACATACACGAAGGCAAGTTTATATAAACGTGGTAATAAAAAAAGGAAGAAAACTCTTTTAATTCCTGCTTTTCAATAACCTTAATGAGCGGCACGCATACTTAACTTCAATTAACTCAATTCAAATTAACTTCATATAATAAGCTAAATGAATTACTTATCTCAATCACATAATAATTATAACATTTCCTCCATAGCTAAAAATAAATAACCCGTTTAAGGGTAAACTTCCTGATTTATTACACGTGCTAGCTAAATTTTTATCATGAGTTCAATCTTCTCAGGGGAATTGCACGTATGATAAAACGTTTTTATACTAAAGTTTGCTACAAGATTTCGTCCCCTGATGGGGCATCGTAACTAGCTTGTCATTAACGGCTTAAAGTTCTGTTTCCCAAATTTATTTGGCGATGAATATTCAAGTCTTGGCCAAAAATATCCCTTTCGTTAAGGAAAAGAAAATTACCGTTTTGTCCTTGCGTAACGATCTTTCTAAGAATTGTCAAAGAGGATGCGTGACGTCACAGCCCTAAGTCTTTAAGTCCCCTCTGCACGCAATCTGTGCTTCGGCATGCACTGCAATCTTTTTTCAGTTGCGAACTTTTTTACTTAAAATAATCGATATCACTTAGGGGGACCCA